CCTGTTGCTGACTAAAATTTTGGCAAATTTAATCTGCACAATAAAAAGGTGCTTACTTACGACTTCCGAGTTACCGTTTTTACATGTTCACGCATTGTGTGTGGAATATTTTAAAAATAAATGGAAACATTTTTTTCCAGTTTTTTTTACTCTTCTCCGGTAGGATGGGTCCGAGTCTGAGGGGTACGCTGAATCTGGATACGATGTTTTCGACAACGGGAAACCCATGACTGAGTGGACTGGAGAAGACTTCCCGAGAAAGAAATTCAAAATACACAATGGTCTCAACACGATACTTCAAAGCTACGCAGACTGTCGACGAAAAATTTTTGGTTATCAGAAGCACCACGACATAGACGATAGCGAGGCTACAGAAGACGACTTAAAAGCGGAGACGGTGGAATACGATACCGTGGATATGGAAGATGTTTGCTGCGATGGCACTGCTGGTATCAGTGGTCTCATCTTCATTCTTCTCATCGATATAGCATACGTAGCCTATGCTACGGTCTGTAACCAACTCGCGACAGAGGATGACATCCGGCTGCTATGGCTATCCGTAATCGTGTGGCTATTTATCCTTGTCAAAGTTTATAGGAGACTGGCTCGTCTAGGTAGACGTCGGGGAGGGTGTTTTGCACCCTTCAATTCCTGCCAAAGGGCCGTCAATAAGGGCTGGAAGCGTTTCCTGTATTGCTGCCAAGCTCCCTGGCATGCCTGTTGGGCACGTGCCAATGGTAGCGAAAAAAGCGTAAGGAGGAAAAAGCGTCTAACAATCAATATGTAAGTTGATTATACTGTTATGGTAGTTTTGTTTCCATATTGTTAAGCATATTATAAACACTGGTTTGGCGCTTTGTGAACAGGTTTACAAGAAATTTAACTCTCAAATATTTTTAGAGCCGTTACGTTCTATTTGTTAGACAGAACTTAGTTAACATTTCCAATCCAATATACGCATCCAAATGAACTAGTGTGAGGCACACTTTAGTCGCAATTAGTCGCGTATAAGCAGAATATATTCGCGCTGTTGCTACCAAGAACTATAAAACCGTCGACAGCGTCCGTTACGGCAAAAATAGTTTATGTATTGCATTTCATATAACCCTAATCCAAACACGTTCTCCTACAGAAGCGGTGGTTATAGGGCTTTTGGGGGTAGGGAAATAGAATAGGCTGGAAGGAAATGTTTAGAAGTAAGTCTAAAGTGAAAAAAATGTAGTCGAATTTTTTTCCCACGGCCGCTGGGAGTAAGTTGTTCCGCATTTAAATTGAAGGTGTGCGCGACGATTCGAGCCACGGACTATACTAAGCTTACTCCAGAACGGTAACTTGAACCTCAGGAAAGTTTAAGTAGACGACCACCTAGCCAATATTTCTATTTTTTCAGGGATTTCAAGAAACGTGCAATTTGTTAATCGGGTTTTCCCACAGTTCGATGATACAGATGATTAAAAGCTTCCGATATAAATCAACAACATTTCTTAATACAATGAAATAAAATGCATATAGTAGTTATTAAAGTATATTTCACTGCATATCCTAATTCCCCCCCATTACACTCTTTAACCACCGCTTTCGTAGGACAACATTTGAGACTAGGAATATATGAGGTGCACTTCATGAACTACTATTGACTTCCTTACTAAAGTCCAAAAATCTAATGTTATGAAGTTCAGAGTTGGCATTTAAAAAAGGATAGGACGCAACAAAGCAAAATCATTTCAGCCCCCGTCTGGTACTCATAAAAGCCGGTGCTGTGGTTCGAAAAACTGTATATATTTGAGTAGACAACGACGAGTGGAGTCTTCAAGCTGTACTCAAGCTTGTGTTCAAAGTGTCTCTATAAGGCACATGCAATACTACCGCACAACTATAACTATCAACATACGTTAAGTATTAATTTTAAAGTGGTTTATTACATATTGTTTAATATTTGTGTGTGCTAAACGTATGCTAATGACAAGGGTTTAGGGGTCTCATATTGACACTTTTTTAGCAATTTACAGGAAAATTCCAATTGCATGAAAAGTATAAATATTGACATACAATATGAAAAATATTTCCCTCACAAGCAATATATCTTCCTTGGTTAAACATAAGCATAACATTATCATTTTCCGGCGTATGTAATGGAAGAATATTACTAGCTAATATCCAAGCAGCTGGGCGCAGTTCTCCGTGTGAAGTACGTTTTTGTAACATGTAGTCTTCAATAGATTTAGTCGAACTAACCGGCCATCGGTTTACTTTCAAAGAAATAAAAAATTGTTTGCGGTTCCGACACGTTTAACTTATTAACCAGTATCATGGTCTCTGTTTTAATGTATTACTTTATTTTCAGCATCGTCATAACTCTAATGCTGAGCTTTGTCCTCCTCTGTCTCATCTTCTTCGTCATACTCAAAGATTTCCGTAATCTGATTTCCATTTCTGGCATGATTCTGCTGATTTTGCTATGTGTCGCGATATCATGGAATCCAGGAAGTGTACGTTTGCAGTTGAAATACCCTCTTGTAAGGCATTACACTACAAAACCAAAGTTGCCCAAATATTTCGACAATTTGTCATTTTCACGCTACCGACGACTTCATAGTCCAAAAAACTGTCAGATGAGAACTAGTCGGCGTATACCTCACATCCGTCGGTGAACGGCAAATGGCGGCATATAATTTACTGGTCATAAAAGTTGCATGTCATGTTAACAAACTCGACCACTACAAACAAGGACATGTTCGGAAGCACACTTACAGACAAGTCAAATAAAATAAAGGAAGGCGATGTGCATCGTATAAAACAGTAAATAGCCTTCCAACTCATGTCGGTAAATTTAAAAAAACAAAAGAGACTGAAGCTAGTAGCCGAATTAGTGATTTGCGATTCACTACTACTCAGTTGTTCGAGGTTGAAAAAACCCTGGGCTCGTAAATGAAAAGGACTTAGGTAACTTTTCAGATCAAAAAGTACCCCTCAATAAAAATAAATAATGTGACTGAGCTCGATAGTGACGGGCAAAGACTGGGCACCACCCCTTACGTCCATAGGATGAAGTCGTTGCAACATGAACTGGAAAATCGGCACCCCATCCCTCTTATACATTCCACCCATCTGACGACGACCTGGTGTGCCAGTGTCGAACATTTACACAATAAACCACCGTTTCCCATAGAACTCTTTCTACCGAATCGCTGCAACATTATTTTAGTTACCAGTAGCAACTTAATCTCTACCGGGGATCCAGCGGAGAAACCAGCATGTGTCTCAGGAACAGGAACGACCCGTTGCTCCAATATTTTTTCCACCTAACACAGCATCCGTAAGTTTCTTAAACAAACCACCACACAGTAGACAAGGTCCCACGCCAATTGAGCGAATATTGCACAAATAAAAACTAGACTTGCAATCTACAACTCTGAAAGGTTCTATTTGTCAAAGGCTAATAAGCCCTAGGTAGAAAAAAAA